AACCAAGCACGAGTATACCATGATTCTTCCATTTTGTATCGTTTTAGAGATATGCAGAGAAGGCAGGTTGAATATGTCAAAAAGAGGGTGCTTCTCTTGGAAAAGGGTCTCAATGCAGAGTATCAGAAAGAATATAATGTAAGTTAAATTACTGCTTAACAGGAGTTCTGGCCTAAGCAATTCTTGGGAACTTTTGCTTATAGCGCTCTATGCTTTTTAACTTCCTTTTAAACTACGCCATATACATGTAATGACATCCGCCTACAGTGAATAAAATGGGGAAGTAAACAATAAAGAGCAACAGAAATAGGTTGCTCCTTTACATAATGATTTGGACGGAGGAATTGTCCTCATCACTGTTGGAATGATTAGTTGTTAATGAATTGTTCAACAGCAGGATTTTATATCTGGATCTCGGATTCTTGTATATGAATTTTTAGCATTTCATTTGTCTGGTACGTTAGTAATCAATTACTAGTTAGTCATGCATTTTAATCATGGGTTAATTTGACTTCCTGAATTTTTTTGGTGCATTCTACATTTGAATTCAATATTCAAGCAATTGTAATTCTTGTTCTTATTTTGCAATGGTTTTTGTTGTTTGGTCTTATTCAAAGGTTGTGCTGCTGCTAGAAACTATCTTCTAGTTTCTTGTAGCATGAACACCATGTTAAATCTATTATGAATTTGCATATTCTACATTGCTAAAACAGGCTTTTAGCTGTTGCATGCACATTGAAATTACATGAATTTTATAGATGATGCTTGCGGACTTACTGTTTGCCCTTACCCTTACATTTTCTCTTAGGGTGAGAAGAAAACAAATGAGACAGAAAATGAACAGCAAGAGAATGAACAAAAGGTCACCGACATGCCAAACGCAAGGACAATAGAGATCCCTACCCAAGAGATTGATCGTTTACCGCCAATAGAAGTAATCGGTTAGTTATAATCTCTCGAACCATAAAATGCATTAGAATAGTCACAATTTGTCAGAAGTCGTATACAAAGACGAGCGAAAGAGATTTCTTTTTTCTTTTTTTCCTTTTAACTATAGGTAGTTTGCTTTCTAGATTACCAGATAATCATCTGTAGTATAAATAAGAACAATTACACAGAGTTCATAATCTGAAAGGAGGGTAGATAAAAGAAAGAGAGTTGATTCTCTATCCTCTTCCTTCACTTTTAAGCTTTCTTTGTGTTTGTTAAAGAATTTCTTTGACTGGGGGTACCGTCTTTTAGTTGCCTTGTTTGCTTCGGTGATGACGATAATTATCCTTTTTCAGCATCAGAAGAAATCTCGGCAGCTGCTTGCAATGATGATGCAGGTCAATTGGAACTGCCTCTGCACTACAATAAGGTACGTCTTGTGTTTGACAGGGCTTGAACATACAGGATGAAGCTGAGAGGATGGTATTGTACTCTGTTCAGCTTCTTAGGAATGAAAATTGTAGCAAGTTAAGTCGAGGCTGTGTTTTATTAATTTACAGTTTTTTTTCTTGTCGCAGATATGCAAGATCTTGGAGGAAAATGTGCACGTAGGAGTTCAGTCAGGCCTGAATTTGAAGATCCTCCATTCGTTGGAAGAAATTTTAGCGGACATATCTCGGATTCTTTCACCTGCAGAGCAGCCCGTGCTCAATGCAGCTGCAGCATCCCAGAACTCTGCTGCAGTAGGGTCCATTTCACCACCTAACCAACAGCCTGCTGTTGTGACTGAAATCGAGATGGAGGACGTATCAAGAGAATCTGAACTGGAGAAACCGGAAATGGTAGAAGAAATAAATACAGATTTAACAGGATCTGATTTACTTAAAGATAGCAGCAAAAAGGACGATCAAGGTTTGAGCTCAGATCCAATGGAAATAGCATCAGATTTGACTCCAGGTTCTGGAAATGACGATGCAATGAAGGAAGAAACGGGGAATAAAGACAGCATCAGATTTAACAGGAATTCTTGCCTACTGTAAAACTCATTTTGGTAGCATTTCTGAACTTCAATTTCATGTTTAATTTAAGTGATAACATATACAAATGTACCAATTATGAGCATTTTTCAAAATTTATTTTAAGTCTTAACAAATTCGTGTTTTCCGTTAGGAATGACAGATAAGTACAATTTTGTGGATTTTGCACCGTACTCGCTCTAATTGGGGCGGGGATAGGTATAAATTTAGTGGGTAGTGGCCGGGTATAAATGTAAAAAGTCATACCCGTCGTGGGTAGTGGGTAGGTGATGAGTTTGAGACTTTATCTATCCTGCATCCGCTCGTCCACCAACTATCTATCATATAAATTTTGGACCATTAAGAATTTAGGTAAAATTTTAGAGATTATTCTGTAAATTTTAAGATTTTATTAGACATGATTTGTAATTTAACCGAATGTTAAGTAATAAACATTTTTAGAATCGAAGATTATCATTTTTCCTATCTCAAATTAGTGGGTATGAGTGGATATAGACGGGCACAGGATAGATAGTGGGTATCCAGTTTGGTGGTAGGCGTGGGGATGGATATGAGAAGAATGTATTCGTGTAGGCGAGTTAGATTTAAATATTTTATCAGTCGTAGATGATGGATATGTATTTTATTTTTTTACAAAAATATTAGGTAAGTGTGAAGATGAGGGAAAGAGTATGTGCACTCGCACCTCCCATTTGCCATCTCTATTTTCCATACTTCTGAAATATAACCCTAGTTTTCATTCTTAATTTCACCTATGCCGCCTCTCCAAATCACGTTCGACCGGATTTGTCTCCAAAATTTGAATTTTTTTGTCTGATTTTTCCAATCCATCTCGTTTACCATCCTCAAGTGATAGTTACTATCATGTGTTGGGTCTCACCAGAGTTAAACTTACTATCAAAATCAATTTTCTTCAATAAAAAATACACCTTAATTAGTAGGTACCATTATCTTTTATAAATAACATTTTTTTATATATATGCCATCTAAAATTAATATGAAAATCCATTTATCAATAAACCATGACTGAATTCATGTTAAAAAAAATAAAAGGCTTTGGGTTTGAATGTTGACCTTTCAAGAGGGCATAATATTCATTGGCGAACGTGATTTAGTGCTTCTTTAATTTACAGTCCAAAGAATAGAATATTTTCTTTCTCATGCTTAATTCCCGCCCGCCCATTTGTTACTCTTAATTAATCTTTTTTAGAGGAAACTGGGATTTTTAACTTTTATTTTTAGAAAAAGACTCAAAGGTATCCCTTCTTTCAAATATGGCATGGAAACCTTCTAAAAGAAAGAATATGTTAGCCCACTAAGCTCTACAAGACGAATGCTTATATTTTATTTTTATTTTTCATGTTCGTTCTATAATTTATATTTAATTTATAATCCATATTAAGGTTATGAATGGTACTCTTCCCCAAAACACTTCGAATTACATGAATCAAGTGGTCTCCGTGATAAAATAATTGTTATTCCTTGAGGACTCGAGTTCAAGCACCATGAATTCCAGAGGTGTGAGCGTTCACTGTCAAGAGGTTAAGAGTTATCTTTAAATATATATTATCTTGTACTTATCTTACATTTATAAAAAAAAACCTACACTTCAAATTAGATAATTTTTTTATAAAATGTGGACGTGGATAACTGAAGATATTGTTTCATTTTTATCCTTTAATATTATTTTATGTTTTAGTATATATATGTTTAATATATAGATTTCTTAAATAAGGTTAGAGTTCAAATCCTGGTATTTACGAATAGAACAAGTTGGGTTAAAGGATTGTCCTTGCCTCTGCAATTATCGATTGGATTAGCATCATATATGGATGTTTTCAAGTCCACACAAATGTAGGACAAATATGAATGAGATAATTCTTGAACTTGAATCTTAACTCATCTCGTGCTATTATCATTTTATTCATAATTTAAAATTGAATCTCGTAATAACATTTTCTTCAATATCTAGAGAAAAATCATATCAACCCGTGCATGGGCATATCAGCAATGATAAAACTATTAAATACCACTGCCTATTACTAGAATGCATGCATGCATGCATGTCTATATATGTAAGGCTGAAAGGGAAACACACGGTGAAAAAGAATACAGTCCTTTGGACAATCAGTCTCAGTTATGCTGTCGTGTGACTCGTGTCCACACTATATGCACACATATATATACAAAGAGAGGGGGGCGGATAAATTGCAGGGTGAGGTGCCGAAAGAGGGTATATTATTTGTTTCTGAAAACAAAATAGAAATAGGTAAAGAGAAAAAGAGTGAATGAGGGGAAAAGTAGAAGACAAGAGAAGAGGAGAATATAAAAAAGAAACCCTGGAAATCAGGCCACCTGCTGGGAAAGTGGAGAACAACAACAGACAAACTTGCTCTTCTTATACACGCATGCTCTTGCTTTCCTATTCATAGTTTCATACATACATACATCACATGCATACAAAGTTATAGACATACAAAAACATGCAACCTGTTCTTCCAGAAGACCTCTCTTATCAGATGGATATAAACAAACAGATCGAATCTCATTGAACTTTAACAAACCAACAAAAGCACACTGAATTCGGGGAATCCTGGGTTTTGTTTTATTTTCCATCATCTTCATTCTAAATGCTAAATCATTTATAGATATACAATATTAGCTTTCATCGTGATAAGTAATGCAATCAAGTAAATCAAAGCCTGCAAACTTTGAAATGAATGCTACATACTGAGATAACAGAAACCCTATTTTTTTTTACGATTTAGATTCTTGGAAGGCTCACAAAGGTCCCATCATGTGTAGTTCTTATGAGAGTTTGGGGGAGCTTAGTGGGTCACTTACTGTCAAGTATCAACCCATTGGCAGTGCTTACCAGATAAAACAGTCGGTGTGTTTTCATACACATAAACACACAGTACCATCACCATTCAGAAACATTAATTAATTCAAAGGCTACGATTTACAAACCATATTCTTCATTCTGTATATTATATCATTGAAGAACTTATCAACAACGAAAAATTCATAAATAAATCCATAAAGACACATAGGGTTGGCTACTTGGAACCTAAGCTACCTCGTCTTTATAATTGTTCATTACCATTTCTCTTCAATTTGTACACAACAGAAGAGAGAGAGGGTAACAAAGAAAGAATCCATGGCCTCTACAGGAAAACAAGTTGATGGGAATTATCCAACTGTTAGGGTTACTAAGAACGTCACCGTGCACCCCAAATCCTTGCATCCACCAAAGATTATCCATCTTTCCAATCTGGACAGGCAGTGTCCGATGTTAATGTACGTTGTTTTCTTTTACAAAGCTTCTTATGCTTACCGGAATTTGTCTCTGGATTCGGTGTTTAACAGCTTGAAATCTGGGTTGGAGGAGACTCTTTCGATATGGTATCCAGCAGCTGGTAGGATGAGCCTGAACCAAGGTGATTGTAAGCTTAATCTCTGGTGCAACAATGGTGGTGCAGTTCTAGTTGAGGCAATCACCAGTGCTCAGATCGTTGAGCTTGGAGATCTTTCTCAGTACAATGAATTCTTCGAGCGTTTGACTTATAAGCCTGCTTTTCAAGGGAACTTATCGGAGATGCCTTTGCTTGTTGCTCAGGTGATAATATTAATTTTCTATAACAAATCCTGTTTGAATCTAGGGTTTCATCAATTTGTAAGACTATATATCATCAATCAGTGACTTCTTCAATGCTTCCAATTAAACACACACACACATACATACATACATACATGACTCTTGAGTGTCATCACTCATCAGATAATCCTTGCATAAAAAAAGTGCAGTTAGCCAACTGTGAACAACTTATTGTATGATGTAGGTTACAAGGTTTGGGTGTGGAGGCTACTCAATCGGTATTGGTACAAGCCATTCATTGTTTGATGGACCAGCCACCTATGATTTTCTGCGTGCATGGGCTTCTAATTCTGCAATTCTGAAAGAAAAGAGAAGCACTCAGCTTTACAAGCCTGTGCATGAGAGGGGGTCACTGTTGGTGGGTAATCACCAGGGGCTCACAGAATTGCCTGAAAGGGGGAGCTCGGCGACAAGAGCAGCGGCCATAGATCATCTATATCAGTTGATAAAACAGGCTATGGCTGCTCAAAATTTTGATGGCAGCAGGAACCTTCCTAATATAGGGAACTCAAATCTTGTTCTCAGGACATTTCACTTGAGTGGTGCAATGATTGAAAGCTTAAAAAGCAAGGTCTTTGGTGACAGGAGAGGTAGCTTCTCATGTTCTTCCTTTGAACTCGTTGCAACTCACTTATGGAAGGTAAAATGATTTCAATTTTGATGGATAATTTTCAGCATACATGTATATGTATAGATTTACAGTTAGTGAAATTATTTACACTCTAGGCAAGGACAAAGGCTTTAGGAGCAAGGAAGGGAGCAATGGTTTGCTTGCAATTTGCTGTGGACGTAAGGAACAAGATGGTGCCTCAATTGCCAAAAGGTTTCAGTGGCAACGCGTTTGTGCTAGCCTCAGTTGCCTTAACGGCTGAAGAACTGAAAAATGAAAGCCATGAAGCTACCGTGGAGAAGTTAAAGGCAGCCAAGAACTCGATCAGCAACGAGTACGTGATCGCGTATAACCAGGCATTAGATGGAGGAGCTCAGGGAAGTCTCCCTCCGATCAACGAGCTGACCCTAGTCTCTGATTGGACCAGGATGCCATTGCACACCATTGATTTTCTTCATGGTTATGCTGCTTATGTGTCTCCATTGCTCTCTCCAATGCCTCAAGTCGCATATTTCATGCAGAATCCCAATGATTTGAGAGCCATTGATGTGAGGATTGGTCTGCCTCCTCAATCCTTGAATGCTTTCTCTCATTACTTCCTCACCAATCTGCACTAAGTTCTTGGAAAATTTCCATTTGCTCAAAATATACACCAGCATCTGTACTTCGGCAAAGTTTGGGCTTTAATCCGTAGGCATATTAATTTTCTCCAAGTAAAGGGTGAAAATTGCTTTAGGATGGTGACTATTATGTACTAAATAAGGGGATGTGTGTTGTAAGTTTTAATTATTAAACACTGTTAGCATGAACCGTGTAGTAAAGTGTTTACTAATAATACAAAGACAACATTATAAACTTTTGCATATTGTACGTAGTTGTGTTGGGTCCATTGACAATAGATATTTTATTCATTATACAATAAGTTGCCTGGAATTAACAACAGAGAAAAAAGGGTTTAATAATGCAGAAATAAGATTAACAGATAGATCCGTTATCAGTTTACATTGAGGGCAAAACTACCTAGAGGAGCCAATTCTTGTAAAACAGTTCCCTTCTTTTGCTGTTAGTAGGGCTACACTCTAATCTTCAGATGCAAGTCCTGTGAGAATAACTATTGTGTCCGTCGGTTCCCTTTACCTTGGTCCTGGAACAAAGATAACCCGGAGTCACAGTTAAGGACAAATGGATGGAATCGTAATTCCACACTCTGACGTACATATTGTTATTGACGAACCTATGTTTGACAGCACAAAACATAAATATATACATCAGCTGCTAAAAGTTAAATCATTTCATCAATATACAATCTCTATTCACTAAGATCAAGGAACAGGATGCGCTGACCCTAGAATCTATTTGCAGAACATGTGATGTACACCTCAGCCATGTGAAGAGTGCAACAGAATTATATGTTTTTGGAGGAACCTAACAAGACCAGCAACTAATGTCTTGTTCTGGCAGGCTATAGTCACACACTAGGTCAAACTCATGATTGGGTTGGTTGTCTTCTGGTTTTTCACGTTTACATCTCTTTGGTATAAAATTAGTGCTAATCACTACTTTATCTTCTTAACAAGATGACACAAGAAGATTCGAGGTCTAACAAACCATTTGAACGCCAAGCCGATCGATATACCAGATGAAACACACTCTAGGCTAAATGAAGGGTAATAAACCCTAATGCCATTTCACTAAATTAGCAGAGCATTCTTTGGCATGTCCTACAATTGTTTCATAGGAAAGAAATAACTTCTACAAAGTCTTTCATTGGGTATCCATATGCAACATGTACAAATCACTGGCTTATTTATCCAAAAACTTCTTTGGAGCACATCGGTGTCCTCAAGTACCTTTCGTGGGTTAATTTGATGGCTGAAACTGAGAAATATAATTTAAACATCAAGTAAAAAGGAAACAACTAGAAAAAATAATAATAATTCAGACTAATAGTACCTGTTTCATCATTGCACTTGCCAGATCTTCCAATGAGCCAACGCTATCAGGAATGTGATTTCCCTGTGGCCTTGATTGGTACATAAGATACCTTTCCTTTTCAATAACTGATGGCTCCATGGCTGAGTTGTGAGCTTCAACATGCTTGATGGACAAGGGATCAACAAAATTCAATGGTCCAATAGAATCCGAATCCATTGTTCTGTGGAAAATTGAATTATTTCGGTCCAAGCACTGGTCCAACTGAACCATAGCACCGTTAGAAGAGGTTGAAGAGTTTACTGAACAAGACATAAGATGTGACTGGTAGGGGGCATCTTTTCTGGGGGCATTCCATTCTTGAGCAACGCTTCTCATTATTTTCCCTGCATTACAGTTGATTGAGGCTGCTTGTCCTTGTAAATCTGCTTTTGAATCCCGCAATTGATTGGAAACAGGATCTATGGAAGCAAATTCAGATAAAGTATTCCCATTTTGGAAGCCTATTGCATAAACACCATCTCTCAAATTACTAGCATGCAAAGCAGATTGCCGAGAGCTTCCTTCTAACATCAAGGAGTTGCTTGTAACACCAAGAAGCGGATTATTGGAGAATCCAGTTATTTGTGCATCCATTAAACTGCCAGAAACAGGGAAAACACTCGTACTATTGGCAGTCGGCAGCTCTCCAATGTGGCTAACACCCTTGTTATTTTGTAGTTGATCAAGTTCTAGCGACATTGGCATACCTTGTAGGATGTTAGCATTATGGTTTCCAGGAACAAAAGATTGCAACTTGCTCGGATCATTAATGGAATGACCCGAGTTTTGGACATGACCTAATTGAATAGTTCCTGGAGACGGAAGGCCACGTATACCTAGCCCAGAAGGTGTGTTCAATCTTCCAAGCACCCCACTAGGTGGGAAAGATCTAAAGGCTGCATTGTGAAGCTGATCGGTTCCAGCCAAGGCATGGAAATTCCCAAGTCCATTCAGAGGCCCCATCCGCAAATAGGAAGAATCTGCGGTGCCTAAAGATGCTGCCACATTTGCTTGCTGGTTTGCCACACAGCTGATTCTTTTCAGGTAAAGCCTAAATTTCTGCAACAACAAAAGGATGACAGTTAGCTTCCTGGTAACTTTTGAACTCATAACAGGAACTATGGCAGAAAAGGTAAGGATTACTGCCTGCAGATGGCTGGCAACATTCTCTCTGGTAAGCTTTTCAACATTCATCAGTTCGAGGATCCTTTTAGGTACAGCCTCTGCATTACAAGAAGGTGAAAAAGTCAAAACCAAAAGTTTCATGCACAAGTGGTTTCACTGTGAAATTAAACAATCAGCCAGAGGACCTAGAACTGAAAAATCGTGAAACATCAGTAATAAATGTCAAAGCGTATAAATCAATAATGCAGGGTTTCGAAAGACAATATCATCTCCAAAATCAGAATATTCAAGGATAATCATTGAAATGATACTATTCTACATTAAAAACGAGGGACAGACATGAAAATCAATCGATCTATAGCAATAATAGTTACGCCATAAATGTAGCCAAAGTTGAAGTCATGATCATACTTTCAATGCCCAACTGATTAACCGCTGCAACGAATTTGCGATGCAACTCCACTGACCAAACAACGCGAGGTTTCTTTTGGGTTGAGGGATCGTCATTATCATGCCCATTCTCATCACGGTCCTCATCCTCATCTTCATTCTGGTCCTTCCGCTTTTTGTTTAACTTCACATTGTTATCAGCATTTCCCATCCCTGCAGCCTCACCACTATCGACATGAGGCTTGTCTAGGCTGTCAGAATTATTCCGGTCTTTCCTATCGAATTTCTTTCTCCTGACTACATGTTGCCATATATTTTTTAGCTCCTCAATTCGAACAGGTTTCAGCAAATAATCACAAGCTCCATGAGTAATCCCCTTCATCACAAGCTTGGTATCACCGTTTGCAGACAACACTGAAGGCAGTTTATCAAATCATCAGTTAAAAAATCCAGCTACTCGTATAAAGTATCAGCTTTATAATAGACTTTGAATCGACCAATGTTAAATTACTGAAAAGCATCCGAAATCCAACTTCCCCGGAAAAAATACTCTCTTTTAGCGTGAATGACCAAAATGATGAAAGTTGTAATAAAAATTGTTCACAGTCTAGAATTTAAAGAAGGCAAAAACAAAAAGCAAAAAGCAGAGAGTTATTATTAGTAGCTTACTTATGACAGGCAGGTCCATCTCAAGCCCCACAAGCTCGAGTAACTTGAAACCATCCATGTCGGGCATATGAACATCGCTGATAACCAAGTCAAACCTGTTCTTGTTTTCCCTCAACATCTTCAATGCCGTAACAGCCTGACTGGTTGTGGTAACTGCAAAACACACACTTTCAAAATAAATCTCTGAATCATTATACGAACAAATCTAAAACGGGGGAAATTATCCAAAGGCGTGATTTTATTTGTTAAAATAGCAATAAATCACCAAATCGTGAAGAAAAAAAAAAGAGACCCGAATCTAAGAACTATTAGCGGAATCGAAGAGAAACCGAAAAATGAGATCTTCCTTCAGATTTTCACAATGCAAATGGGATGAATGAAGACCGTAAAGTTCACAAAGATTTCACTTTAATGAAAACCAACTAATAAACAGAAAAATAACTCATTAGTATAAAGAATTACGAAAGAGAAGATTTAGGGTAAAAAGAAAAGGAACCATGGTACTGGCATCGACGAAGCAGAGTCTCGAGCAGTAAAAGGCAAGTCGGGTCATCGTCAACGGCCAAAACTCGCATGCCAATGGGAAACTGATCCTTCGTTTCACTAACAATTCGCTCTACTGTCATTTCCCCCCCACAAGTTTATCTTCCTTTTTTGCGGTATAAGAAACCCTGTTTCGTGGATATTGAAAAAAAAAACCCGGAAACTAAAACGAAAGAAATCTGAGACAGAGATAAGAAAGGGGCAGCAGGTTTTTAGATAGTAATTAAGGGGTGAATTTAGGGAGACGGGAAAGAGCAAGAGATTGGTAAGTTTAGAATAATGAAAAATATTTTGCATTTAATTCTCAGAACAGACTGTAAGCTCTGATCTAATCTCTGGGTTTTTTTTAACAAAGAGCATGAATCTATGTTAAGTATAGAAATTGACTGTGAAAACCGGAAATCACACGATAGACTGAACAAGTTTTTTACTCAGAATTTATTTTTTCAATGAACTGGTTTTTACTAACGAAATTCAATTTTAAGCGAACTTTTAGCAGAGAATGAGGTTGATGAAAATCTCTGGGGAGTTTATTTATATGCATCATTTGTGGGGAATTCGAGCTCAAGGATTCAATTCTATCTTACTAAAATTCCGCAGTAAATTGATAATAATATGGAGTATTTGATCTGATTATTCAAGTCTTAAGATTTTGACGTTCTTTCCTCTTTAATTAAACCAATTAATCTTTCGGAAACTCCATTATTATTTGTGTATTTCTTTGCATTACTTGTAGCGGTGTGAGTCTCTTACCCACGTCGTAGTACTTGTTGTTTTTATTGTAATAAATATTTAGTTTAATTGAAAGATAAATATATAAGTTATATTTTTTTTCATATGTTTATAATTTTATATTATATGTTTTATATTTTATTTTCATATCATTTTAAGATTGTCAACTCATTATATTATATTTTTAAAATTTTAGATATCTGAATAATGTATGACACGTGATATGAGCACATTTCCTAATATGGCCGTAATATTTGAAAAAAAAATTATCTTTTAATTTTTTTTCTAATGATTTAAGTTGTTACAATATAATATTTATTTAAAAAAATTTAATTTATTGATGACACGCACAATAATTTAAATTGGATTAAAATGAATTTAGGATTATCAACTCCATGAATTTTCATTTCACCTCTTTTGATGTTTTATGTTTATAATCTAAAAACGAATTTAGAAAATAAAAAATAATTTTTAAAATGGAGTAGAGTAAACTAGAATAAAATGTTCATTTTTATGATAAATTTTGGAATACTTGATTTAGATGAATGAATGAATGAATGTATTTATGACTATTAGAACTTTAAAATTAAAAGAATAAAAATGAAAAATGTTGTATTTATCCAAATAAAAATGTTTTTCTTAAAAAATAATTATTAATGATTCTATTTTAGTATGGTTTGGTTTCTGGTTACGGGGGACCACAACGGCTGGAAGGGTGGGTCACGCCACAGCATGCTTTGTGAACCCAAAAACAGAATTTTTATTTAATTAAAAAATAAAGGAAAATGTGTCTCTCTTGCCAAAGTAAAAGCCTGTTATATCTCCAACTTTTTATTGTTTAATCCTAATTATTAATCTAATAAACCCTTTTTTCTTGCATTTTATAAAGTGTTCGTCTTTTAACACCTCAAAGGTCATCCCATTTTAGGGTCTAAAAAGCCTAAATATGAAGGGTATGTTTGTTCTGGAAAATTAAAGGTTATTTTTAATTTTAAGGACATTACGAATATCGAAAGTAAAAAGGTTAAATACGCTATTCATACATAAACCATACTAAATTCTCAGTTTCATACATGATGTTTAAAAATTATCGATTTCATACATAAATTTTTCTGTAATTAACGGATTCACTTACTTCCGTTACGAAAAATGACTTGGAACCCTACGGCCACGATACGTGGCACTTTTTAGTCACTAAAGTTTCAATTTTTTTAATTTAATTATTAAACTATAGAATTACCCTTATTTTAATAACTCAATTTTACTTTATTAAAATTTTTTATAGCGTAGCATCTATTAATAACTCGAATTTATTTTATTAATATTTTATTAAATTTATTTTATTAATATTTTATTAATAACTAAAATTTTAGTTGAGTTATTAATAGATGTCACATCATAAAAAATATTAATAAAATAAATATGAGTTATTAAAATAAGAGTAATTCTATAGTTTAAATTAAATCAAAAAATTTAAACTTTAGTAACTAAAATAAAAGTGAGAAGATAGTTGAGTGATGAATGGTGTAATTTATCTAAAAATGTTTTTTTAAAGTGTCACGTGTCATTTTATTAGTGGTCGTAGGGTTTCACGTCTCTTTCCGTGACGGAGTAGGTGAATCCGTTAACGGTAGAAAACATCATATATGAAATCAAGAATTTTTAAATATTCTGTATGAAACTGAGAATTTGATATAATTCATGTATGAATGGGGTATTTAACCCAAAGTAAAATTATTTGAAGAGAGACTCGTGAAACATATATCATGAGTCGAAGCATGGACTTAAAATGGCAATAACAACACCCCATCAATCAAACCCAATGTTGTTTTTTCTTTGGCTAGATTATTATTTATCATACTAACTTCCGCATAAAAAAACCTAGTGAGAAATTGGAGACAATATACTGCACCCAAGATGAAGTTAGAATTGAAGGGATAAATTATTTAACTTCAAAATAAATAAGATCTTTAAAATTGAATAAGTCATAAAATTTAAAAGAGTTATAATTTAATTTCACTATTTTAAAATTGAAGGGTCCTAAAACATAATTAAAGCAATAAATTTTGAGGGAGGGAATGGTGAAGTTGTAATGATTTCAAAAATATTAATGACCTAAAATCAATTAAACCATTAAAGTTGGGGGCAATTGCCGCTCCCACCTCCCACACAGATTCGTATCTGATTGCACCCTTCTTTAACAAATATCTATAACATCAGTAATCAGTACTAGTTCATAATAATAATAAAAAATAACTGAAATTTAGTTTAATTAATTCTAATACTATTAAAAGTATTGGTAAAAGTATACAAGTAGTCCCTCGACTATAGGTTGTTGAGTCATCTGATTATCAAAAGTTACAAAATGATCCCCAACTATATGATGTTGCTTTGTTGAGTCCCCGACTATTACTAGCTACAAAATTGTCACAGGACTATTTATTAATTTCAAATTCATCCTTTTATGTTAAAAAATGACGGTAGTCTATGCTGGATGTTAATCTATTGCGTGAGATATAATAAATTTGATCTTAGAATCTCAAACGACTATCATATCTTATATAACAAAATAACATACAACTTAGATTGTAGTTACTTTTTTTAACAAAAAGGACAAGTTTGGGACATAATGAATAATCAGTTGACTATTTTGTAACTTTTAATAGTTGAAGGATTCAACGAAGCAACATCCTATAGTCAGGAGATCATTTTGTAAACTTCTAATGGTCGAAAGACTCAATAAAATAATATCCTATAGTCGAGGGACTATTTATGTACTTTAACCATATAACAAAGACAGACACATGATTTTATATTGGGGCGAACTTATAAGATTTTAAAGGGACAAAAACATATTTTCAATAGAAAATATATAAAAATAGAAAATCTATAATAATTTTAGATTTTTAGGGGGTGACCGCACCCACCTAAGTCTATACTTGCTAGGGATGGACATGGGTCGGGTTGGGTCAGATTTTTGGTCCACCAGGCCTAGCTCGAAAATTATAAATCATTCACCCGACCCGAAAAATATAACCTTCCACCCGACCCGAACTCGACCTGATTTTTTGAGATAAAATTTGAATCTGACTCAACCCCACCCGAAATAATATATTTATTAAAAAAATATATTTTTTATTCAATAAAAATAAGAATTTAATTGAAAGAAAATAATATATAGATGGATATTATTGCAATTATCCCTAGATATATAAGGTAAAATTACTTTTTTTGTCGGGTCCAGTATTTTTCATCTTAAACCAAAATCTGACCCGACTCGAACATAACTTAAAAAATCCTATCCGATCTGATCTAAATTCAAATTTTTAAAAAAATCCGACTCGATTAGGTCGAGTTCGGGTCCATACCCATCCCCAATCCCTTCCCTATAATTATTTAGTAGTCATGAATTTAAAGGGATATATAGATAGTTTAAAAAATATTTATTAAAAAAAACATCATGCCTACATACACTAAAAAGAAAGAGGGCAACAACTTTAGGAAAAGATTGGTGGGAGAAAGCGAAATAATGAGTAAAAAGAAGAAGGTGGTAGCAAATCAGTTATCCCATGAATGCCCACTAACTCATCTTAGTGGGGATGACTCTATATATACACACGCAAACACAAAATGTGGGTTCCAGACTGGAAGTGAATGCCATCTCTGGTTTTGGTACTGGTGGATGTGATGTATGTGCTTTTCCCATTAACACTATCGTATGATATCTTATCTCTCTTTAAATTAACTTCCAAATCATCTAATAATTCATCGTATTCTGCCAAACCACTGCATGACCAACCAAACATCTTATTATTTTTAAAGTTAGTTTAGTTCATGAAATATAAGATTATTGTTTAGAAATAAAATTATCAAAATATTATATTATTTGACATATTATGAAAATGTTATATTATTTTGTTTGATTTATTTAATAACAATATAAGATTGTAATGTTTAATTGAATAAATATAAAATATTAAAATATATATATATATATTATCAAATTATCTATATGATATATCTTTTTAATAAATCTAGTTCTTAATATCAAAATATCTACATGGGAGGTGGGAGGGGCAATTGTTCCTCAAGCTTTGATGGTTTAATTAATTTTAGGTCGTTAATATTTTTAAAATTATTACAACTAAACTGTTGCCCCTCCCAAATTTATTGGTTTATTATATTTTAGGACCTTTTTAGTTTTAAAATAAAATTTTGATTTTTTTTGTTTAATTACTATTTAAGATCCTTCAATTTTAAAATTAGTGAAATTAAACAATAATTCCTTTAATTTTTATAATTTATTTATTTCAAAGTTAAACAATTTTCCCTCATAGTTTAATCCTAGCCCCACCCTACTTAGGATGGAGGAGGGAATAGGATTCACAGGAATCCAAACAGAAAAAGAGCAGTGCTCTATTACCTTTTAAAGAGAATAATTTTGAACCGAAATGTGACTTCGAAAAAGATAATTCCCTTTAATAATATATGTAATCCAAATACCCCTTACGTTGACTGCACTTGGCTCATCTTCATATACACTATCCTTATTTTGTACCCCTCGTCATTGATAAAGACTTAATTATTTATGTAT